AAGGCCAAGTATTTTCCACAAGGGTCAATCTTCACGGCCTCTAAGAGGTCTCGACCTTCATGGGGCTAGCAGGGCGTGCTCTTTGGATGCCAGTTGCTGCGGCAGGGCATGGTCTGGCAGGTTGGCTCTGGTGATCATACACCGATGATGTCCGAGGGATGGATTCCATCGATACATTCATCTCCTCCTGTCTTGCGAGAGGATGCTCCTGTGGAGGGCAATGAGATGGTGGCGGATTTGATGGATCCCGATACGGGGGAATGGTGCCGACATTGTTTGGAATCAGCATTCACTCCATCGACGGTGCGCGCTATTTTGCAGATCCCTTTACCGAGGGAAGCCATGTCGGATCGACTTGTTTGGAAGGAGGATTCCTCTAGGTTCTACACGGTTAAGTCCGGGTATAGACTGGCGGAGCGGCTATCCCGGAGACCAGGGGTCGGCAAAGCGGAGTTTAGCACGATGGATCGGGGACTATGGATAAAAGTGCGGGGGCTTCCAATCCAGCCTAGGCTTAAGTTCTTTGTGTGGGAACTCTTGCACCGAATCTTGCCAACCATGGAGGCTCTGCTGGAGAAGAAGGTGTTAGTTCTTGCTCGATGCCCGGTTTGTTGGGCGATCGAGGAGACTACTGAACATCTTTTTTTTGCAGTGCCCTATGGCGCGTGGATTGTGGGAGGATGCGGGTTTGGCCGCTGAGTTGGAGATACTTCCCACCAAGTGTTTTAATATTTTTTCCGGCGCTTCCTGGAATGCTATGCTTCGCCTTCCCGTGTAGTTCGGTTGGTTTGCCTGTTGTGGAGAATTTGGAAGGGTCGGAACTCGGTAGCATTTGAGGGAATTCAGATCCTTCCATCTATTCTTCGACAGAAGTTCCTTTTTCAAGTGAATGAGTGGGTACAGGTTCCGCAGGGGGAGGGACGGGGTGGTGCTACACAGGCTCTGCCACGGAATGTGGGATTACCTGCTGGCCAGGGGGATTCTTTAGGTGGAGTTATATGCTCCTTTGAGGATCTTATACACTCTCTAACACGCCTCCTCAAACGAAAGCCAACCATGCGCTTTAAATTTGCACAGGCGATCACCATACCTTGTGCTTTAATCAACTGTTAATATTGAGGGTCGTGCAGATTCGAGCACACAAGCACTTGGCCAAACTAGCTCTGATACCATTTCATAAACCAGTTGGTCCCAATAACTCGAGTTGTTGAGAGAATGTTATACTGGATCTTATAGCACTCTCTAACAATTAGAGTGAAGATGAAAGAAAATGAACGAAATGCTAGATTATGGATCTTCTCTGTGCACTCGTCTTCTGTGTCTCTTGATCTAGACCCAAGATCCAACTAGCCCACGATGAGTAAACTTGGAAAAGAAGAAAATACGAAGAGGCTTAAGGATTTTAGCCCAACTGGTAGAGGCTAGGAATTGAAGCCTTTGTATCTTGTCTTCTACCTTAGATAGGAGACTTCAGAAGCAGAGCAATCAACCAGTACTAGAGTACGCAAAGAGGAGAAGCCAGAGCAGAAGAACACACCAAGAAAGATAAAAGAACACACGGTTTTTAACGAGGTTCCCAAACTACTGGTTTGTTATCGTCCAAGAATCAGTACCCACTAATTTATAGGAGAATCTTTTTTATTATTCTGTTTTTTCCTGTCAAGCAATTGAATAAAGACCCAAGAAAATTACAGACTCAAGAAATGAAAAAGACTAAAACGAAAGGTATCAAAACCCAGATTCCATATTCCAGACCAGTTACAACCGTCAATTCGATGTAACCTTTTCTTCTATCACAATTGACCCTTTTTGCCAACAAGCTCTATACCGCTTTCCACAAAAATACTGCAAGAGGGCACTATTTAAGATCTATTTATATAGAGCATCTTGAAAATCGTTGTTTTACAAAAATGCTCCAGAAAAGGAAGCTTTGGACTTGATTTTATTTCTTTTCATTTTTGGAATTTCTGATTTGCATTCTCCTAGGTAGCTTTCGGTTTCATCGCACCAAATTTTCGGTTAGCCGCCATCGATTTCAGGTCCTGATTGATAGCCATCGTTGAGTTGGGTCGGATCGGTTGATCGGTTATTCGTAACCACGAATCATCCGCCCTCCCCAAGTCTTCCAACAACCATTCTCTCTGCATGGGTCGAGAATCGGGATGACAAAGGATTGGGGGGAGATCGATCTAGGAGGACGTGGGCGGCAGGGCAGCGGCCGGAGTGATCGATTAGAGGAAGAGAGGGGACACAACCGGCGTGCTCGATCTGGCCGGATTTCTAGCTCCGATTTTCGCGGCGGCCTCCTTCTCCTTCTTGCATGTCCTCTTCTATGTCTACAAGCGAAGCCAGAAGTCGCTAGAGGATTCTGTGTGGTTGCGCGACTCGAGGCCGACGACATAGGAAGGAGGCGGTCTGGCCAGTGTGCAAGGTTAATCGATTTAGGGTTGTTGTTTGATTATCTGTCTGATTTTGGACTAGGAGGAGGCAATGTTGAATTGGGAAAGAGGGAGGTCGAGACTCACATTGGAAATTAGGGCGGGCTAGGATTGAGGCTTTAAAGATAGTAGAGGGATGAGGATGGTGGGGCGACTAGAGGGTTGGGAATTACGATTTGAAGGTTCATGGAAACATGTAAGGAGGAAAATGAAGGCTATTGTCGGGTATGCGGTGCACCGACGCATTCATCTGTTATAAATCGACAACCGGCGATTACCCAATTGTCCCGAAATGTCCAACCAACACCGCCAACCGATAATAATAAACGATTATTGGTTAGCTGACTAACCGACATTTTTTTCGGTTAGGCGACTAACCGTCATCTGTTTATCACCCCTAATCCAACACTAGTAATCCATCCAATTTTCAATCTTGTTCTCCCGAAGTGGGATCCACGCACCCTACAAGCTTGCCATTGGTTCTCTCGTTGTATTGATGTTTTATAATTAGGTTTTGTATAGTGTAAGTGATATGGTTGGATCAGTGGCAAAATCAATTTATATTAATTCATGCGGTTATAATAAAACATATAGGAAAGTAAAAAATTATTAACACTAAATGAATTTAGCATATATATAACATGTTTGAATTCTATCTCTTTCTAAAATCTACATCCATATTAAATAAAATACATATCAAACAAAATGAAAGTTCTCATATTTAAAACAAGAATTCTAAAACCGTGCCGGGAGGTTGTACCGTAAAAGTAAGTTATAAGGTAATTTATGTGTGGATTAACCATTTCATACCGTTAAAAAAACCACCTAGCGTTATAGTCGCCGCTAGGATATTTTCCCGGTCATATCGCCGGTAAGTGACACTCTACAACACAACTCCTAACAATGGCCAAGTGTAACCAATGAAAGGGATTGCAGTATAGTGGCACAAGTAATAAATATCGAATTCTCGGGTCTCTAGAGATACTATTACTCAGTTTCAGTTCATTATCTAGCAAACCATATTAAGATTTGATTAACTAAACTACTCTACAAGCTAAACTAGGTAAAACTATTAATTACAAGTTGGGAACTCACTTAGGTATGATTCCCCCTAACTCCTCAATTAGATCCAAATTGTAATTCCCTTTGGTTGCTTTACTGTTGATTCAACTGTAGAAGATCCGATAATAGTCTGGAATCTCTTAAACTGACCAAGCCCTCTTAGACAGAATACCCGACGGGCGACTAACCTTCACCGGAGTACAAAGCTAAGGCAACACACAAAGATCTCCACTACTGGAATGAATTCCAGTACAAAGTAGTGAATTGACTGACTCTCGTACAATCAATTCACTACTATCAATCAAGGAAGCTCTCTTAACCTAATCAGATTCTATCTATCATAGGTTAAAGTAGAAGTCAAGAGAATGTGATGAGGATTCAAATGACTCAACAAAATCATGCAATTGATTAAAATCAAACAGTACAATATTCAAAGATTCATACAAGAAAGATCCTAACACATGGAACTAGGGTTTCTCAAAACCTAAGTGAACGGAAGTTACTCCATAGAGAAGAGAGAGAATTCAGTTTAACTTTTCAGATCTTCAATCTTCATGTCTAGACTTGTTCCTTGAGCTTCAATGGTGAAGAATCCTCCAAAATAGCTCCAAGAATGGCTCTAGATTGCCCTCTCTCTCTTTGGTTCGTCCTTTGGGTGTTTGGGATCCAAAACTCAGCTCTCTCTATCTCTAAAATCGCAGAAATAAGACTTATACCCGAGCAGGGGGAGAAACACGGTCGGGAACACGGCCGTGTTTAGTCCCGCTCGTGTTTTGCATCCCTTCAGTAGTCTTCATAAGAGAGGCTCGGCATAAAAAACACTGACAAGTGCTAGACAGAACACGATCGTGTTTTTAGGGAAGCCTGCCCGTGTTTCTTCCTCAGCTCTTGTTCCACTTTTTTTTATGCTTCGTTTCTCCCTCGTCCGGACTCCGAATCGGTCGTCGCTTGATCTCAGACGCTCGTTGTCTCGTCCTCTTTCTTTTCATGAAAAGCTTACATGATTATTTGTCCACAAAATGAGGTAGAAATCCATTATTCTTTAGGTCAAGCCCGAGTTTCTTCTTCCGAATCGCCAATAGATCTCCGATTGACTTGAAACTTGCGCCTATGCTTCACTTTACGCGCTAGGACCTGAAATGTGACAAAGGAACACAACCTAGCGCAAAATAGGCCAAGAAAGCACAAACTCGAGGCAAAACGATCAAGAAACGAGGGTGTAAACATGTGCAAATACGATGTTATCAGTAAGGTACTGTTATATTTGAATCCAATAAATAATATAAATATCTAAACATTCAAAATTGAATCCAACAAATCACCTAAAAAATTAAGTTCCACAAATCAACAAAATAAATAAAAAAATTATTATTTTTTATTATTAAATCCATCAAAACAACTTATTTTGTTTAGAGGTTGAAAATTAGATCACGCGAACAATACTAGAACATTTCAATCGATTTTATAACCGCTCTATTAAACCTGATTGTACCGGCATGCCACCAGTTTGACCACTATGGTTGCATGACTTAAACAATACCTTGATCTCTCCACTTCCTGTTCGCTCATCTTCATCGTTGCGTGGAATAAGAACGCGAGAAGGGACGGAGAACTCGTCAGAGGCAACTTCAACTTCTCGAAAATGCGAATCTGCTCCCCCTGTATGTCTTCCCCAGTGAATTCGTCTCCCCTTTTTATCTTTCCTATCTTAATTTGAGATCTTCAAACCATGCTCAATCTCCAGTTCACGACTTCACTTCGCAAAGATAGAAACTTGGCTCCAGATGAATTGTTTCTTCAGTACGGTCTTAGGTACCCATATGAGCAAATTGCTTTTGGATTCTTCATTTTGATCTCCAATCAGTGAAGCTGAACGTGCTGCTTCAGTTGTCAGACAGTCAATTTACATTAAAATGCACTTCTTGGCTGTTCGATCCTTGTGGGGATGTTTACGGGAGGCTGCAGATTGCTTAACATTGTTAACCTGCGAACTGGTATTGTGTAGTTAAAAGATAGTAGTGAAAGGGATCGTAGTTGCATGCTCAATTTTTGTTGCTTAATTTGATTACAGGTTGGAACTCGTATTGCTTGCTGACTCCACCATACTTGCACTCACATTAAAGGATGGAACCACAGAGTCAGGCAAGTAAAGAGAAGTATGCCGCAGATATTTCTTCCATAAGAGAAGCTCGCGATCGTATAAAGCCATTCGTACACAGAACTCCGGTACTTACCTCGGAGTCTCTAAATGTGTTGTCTGGAAGGAAGCTATATTTCAAGGCTGAATGTTTGCAAAAGGGGTAAGGAATTTGCTACTGTTGTATAGATGAATGTGGACTCATGAGCCATGTGTATCTGACAGCTGATCTGAAGGTTCTTCTGTTCTGGTTTCCATTTGCCACTTTTTGTCTATGTTGTTGCTTAAAAGGGGCGCATTCAAGTTTAGAGGTGCCTGTAATGCCGTATATTCACTGGATGATGAGCAGGCAGCCAAAGGTGTTGTAACTCACAGCAGGTTTTCCCAATGATGTCAATGCTGTTTTACTTAATATTGAGCTGTTTCTCAAACATTCTGTGAACGAAACTCTTGTATATAGTGGTAATCATGCAGCAGCATTGGCTTTGGCTGCAAAGTTAAGGGGCATCTCGTCCTACATAGTTATACCGAAAAATGCTCCCAAGTGCAAAGTTGAGAACGTCTTGCGTTATGGGGGTCAGGTTATCTGGAGCGAGAACACAATGCAGGCGCGAGAAGATACTGCAAGTAGGGTGTTGGAGGAAACAGGTGCCGTCCTTCTTCATCCATTCAATGATGGCCGTATCATAAGGTAGCCTCGCATACTGCTTACTCGGATCCATAAGTGTCATATCATTAATGTATGTGTTTTGAGGTACATATGGGACGTTCATCCATAAGTGCCATATCATCCTAGGGATGTCTCTCTAGGTCTGTAGCTGACCATAAATGCATTGAAATGGTCTGGATAGGCTTACTTACAGCCTTGGAGGATTGACAAGTTTCAGCTGTTGCCTTTGCAGTGGGCAAGGTACAATATCATTGGAGCTTTTAGAGCAAGTAACTCATCTGGACACTTTGGTGGTTCCCATAAGTGGTTTGTTCAACAACCTAGGAGTGTTTGTTGATTGATTCTGGCTAATGTCTCATTGATGATTGGTGTTGCTAACAAATGACTGAACAACATTCAGGAGGTGGTTTGATCTCGGGGATGGCAATAGCCGCCAAGTCCATCAACCCTTCTCTCAAAATTTTTGCAGCTGAACCTAGTGGAGCTAATGATTCTGCTCTTTCCAAAGCGGCAGGACAAATTGTGACATTGCCGAGTACAGACACGGTTGCTGACGGGCTGCGTGCTTTCCTTGGAGATCTCACCTGGTAACAATGAACTCATTGATACTTGAGATAAAAATACATATCAAGTATCAGGATCTAACAGTGTCATCTAGATCTCACTTTGTTCCTCAAATTTTTAACAGGCCTGTAGTGAGAGATTTGGTAGACGATGTGATTGTTGTGGAAGATAATGAAATCATAGACGCGATGAAGCTGTGCTACGAGATTCTAAAAGTTGCGGTGGAGCCAAGTGGAGCCATAGGCCTCGCAGCTGTTCTATCTGACAGATTCCAGAAACACCCTGCATGGAAGGACTGCAACCACATAGGAATCATACTTTCTGGAGGGAATGTCGACCTTGGCGTGCTCTGGGATTCTCTCAGAAAACCGTAGAGAATCATGCTTCCAGTCTTGATTCCATTTCTGTTCTTCTTTACTATGAAAGCTGTTGTTCTTCTCTCACAATTTGATGAACCGAATCATTGAACAGAATGCAGTTTGATGCCTTTATATGTTTGTTTTGTTTCTTTCAAAAGTAGTGATTGTGAACCAAAAATAGAGTTGCCAGGTTTCATTCCGTTGAAAACTAGGGGTGTATGGGTGGTTCGGGTTTGGTCATTTTAATCACCGGACTCATACAGTACGGTTTTGAAAATACTAAATCCAAACTCACTTAAAATATTTAGAACTCTACGGTTTGTTTATAGTTGGGTTGGGTCGGGTTGGAGATAATTTTAATTACAAATCCAACCCAACATACACACAAAAAAAAAGACAATTATTCTACATAATTTTATATATCTGGTTAAATTTTTAGCAAATAATTTGAAATAAAAAGTATTAAAATGCATAAATGGTATTTTTATTTTCATGAAGTATAATTTGCTTCAACGTAAGTCTAGTTTTTCCCACAAACCTTTGTCGAAATAAACTAAAATGGTTATAAGTGAACGCATTTATAATATATTATTTTTCTAAAATTGTACACATAAGAAATTGTGTGACTTGTAGCCTATATTAAATATACGTCTAAACTTTAAGTAGAAGAATGTATTAGACTAGAGAAACCACAAGAGAAAATTATGATATAATTATCTTAATTTTCTTACAAATATGTTTATATACGATACAAATATGTTTTGGATACGAACATATATAACAATAGTTGGAATACGGGTTGAGTCGGATACTACGGGTTGCATAACCCAAAATCCGGACACAACCCAGTAGAAGTGGTTTGTACAAAATAAAACTCTCACCTAATTTTAAAACTTAATTTTACCAATAAATACGGATGGGTTGGGTCGAGTTGAAAAGATGGGTCGATTTGTAGGTTGTTTTGTTCACCCCTATTGAAAACTTATCATTCCAAAAACAGAAAGGCAAAAGACTAAATCTTTGTGGGTTAAATGCACCACTTACCACTTAAGTACAATATATGTTGCATACTAACCACTTAACTTGTTTTTGTTGCAACTAAATCCCATAAGTTGAATTATTGTTGCAACTAAACTATTTTAATAGAATTATGGTTGCAACATCACAATTTCCATCCACAAATTTAACAGAGGGTACCAAAAAAAAACTATTGTACTACCATTTTAAAAAAAGTTAAATCTATATAACTATTTTGCATAATTGTCAAACTTATATGACCATTTTTTAATAAGTTTGCCTTCCTTCCACTCTCCTACTTCTCCTCCCTGCATCACCTCACACGTCACCACCCTCCTCTGCTAACAGAGCCAACCCAAATATGACAAACCTTTCCTCTCAAGACTCCATATCGAGCTCTCTCCTTCTACACCAGCTAAGCTCTACAAATTCCTACCTTCTTTCTTCCTTTTACATCTCACTCTCCATCTCTCTCCCTCTTCTAATTTGCCAGTTAGTCACAGAGATTTTCGGAGCTCAAATCTAACCTCTGTCTTCTTAATCTACTCTTGCTAGAAAGGAGTCATATTCAACGGCTCAAATTATGGGCTTTTGATTGGATTGAATAAACATTCGACCAAGTTTTTTTTTTTTTGCCAATAAATAGATTAAAATGTGCTGAAGTTTTCGCCTGGGGATGGCTCTATAGTTTGCTTCCTTCTTCAAGATATTATCTGTGCTTTGCTTACAATTTAAGCTCAATAATGGTAGTCTCACCTGAAAGTGATGCCCATTTCTTCATATTTTTTATTCAATCCATTGAATTGGTAGTTATTCCAAAGACGCCGCTGATATGCTAACCCAATATCTCATTCACATACTGAGAGGAACAATGTTGGGCGCAGCGGGTGAGAATAGCGGGTAAATATATTGCACTAAGAAATCACACGCTTGTAAAAAGTTCACAGGTAAGATGGACCTGGTAGCAGAGCCTCCAGAATTACGGTAACCAACTTACTTAGATCAATTTACTTCGGTAATTTAATAATGCAATATACTACGACTATTCTCAAAATAACAACAAGCATAGATAATAGTAAATGACACCGAGGATTTACGTGGTATATCCTGATTTTGGGCCAGTCCACGGGAACAGCAGCTCCGGAGTATTTCTTTACTATAATAATGGTAGGTTACAGAGATTTTCTCGATACAAGAAATAGAACACACGGTGTTTCCCAAACAACCTCACAATTTCACTCACAAGGAAATCTCCTATCTAACCGTGGTAGTAAAAACGTTTCACTACCAAAAAACCCACAAAAGAAATACGAATAGAAGCAGAGCAAAGGAAATGGTGAGGGATGATGGAAATGGGCAAATGCCTCTGCATTTTATAGCCAGGGAAGAGGGGAAAGGGAATTGAATTCTCATATGCTAACTCACCTCCCCAACTGCATTCTTTGGTGCTTTAATATTTGTTGATTTTTTTTTTATAATTACCACCGTCAATTGCTGGCTCTTGCTCCACCACATGTAGGCGGGCCAAAAATTCTCCCCCGTCTGACTACATGGGCGACTTCATCATCCATGTAGCTGATCGACAGAACTCAAACTTTTCTCTTGGAAGAGTCTTGGTACACATATCAGATCCATTTTCGTCAGTATGGATCTTCTCTAGTTGTAACTGCTTCATTTCAAGCACATCTCGTATCCAGTGATATCGAACATCAATATGTTTTGATCGAGCATGAAATGATGCATTCTTCGCAAGATGAATAGCACTCTGACTGTCACAGAACAACTGTGGTTGTTCCTGTAGGAACCCAAGTTCATTCAGGAACTTCTTCATCCATATCATCTCCTTGCATGCTTCCGTTACTGCTATATACTCAGCTTCTGTTGTGGAAAGAGCTACACACTTTTGTAGCCTTGCTCATGCTTGAACTCCCATTCCTCTTCAGTTTTGCCATAAGGTTTAGTTGGGCTAAACACCGGCAAATGCAACTCCGTCACGAGTAGGAGATCCTTCATCTTGTTTCTCCATATGTGATAGTTTGAGCCATTCAGACTTATCATCTTGCTTGTTTTTGCCTCCATTGGACGTGGCTCTGATACCACTTGTTGGGCACAACGGGTGAGAATAGCGGGTAAATATATTGCACTAAGAAATCACACGCTTGTAAAAAGTTCACAGGTAAGTTGGACCTGGTGGCAGAGCCTCCAGAATTACGGTAACCAACTTACTTAGATCAATTTACTTCGGTAATTTAATAATGCAATATACTACGACTATTCTCAAAATAACAACAAGCATAGATAATAGTAAATGACACCGAGGATTTACGCGGTATACCCTGATTTTGGGCCAGTCCACGGGAACAGCAGCTCCGGAGTATTTCTTTACTATAACAATGGTAGGTTACAGAGATTTTCTCGATACAAGAAATAGAACACACTGTGTTTCCCAAACAACCTCACTATTTCACTCACGAGGAAATCTCCTATCTACCCGTGGTAGTAAAAACGTTTCACTGCCAAAAAACCCACAAAAGAAATACGAACAGAAGCAGAGCAAAGAAAATGGAGAAGGATGGAATGGTGAGGGATGATGGAAATGAGGCAAATGCCTCTGCATTTTATAGCCAGGGAAGAGGGGAAAGGGAATTGAATTCCTATCTGCTAACTCACCTCCCCAACTGCATTCTTCGGTGCTTTAATATTTGTTGATTTTTTTTTTTATAATTACCACCGCCAATTGCTGGCTCTTGCTCCACCACATGTAGCCGGGCCAACAAACAAGATATCAGAGAGAGAGGAAAACAGAGTATTTATGTATGGCTCTCATGAATTCGAGCAGTAACCGGAATTTCGCGAACTAGAGTGGTGGGTTAAGATCACTATTTCAGTTCTGTTGGCGGTATTTAAACACAATTTGAAGCTCATCGGAGGGGAAAATGCAGTTTAAAATTTTATATCTCTTCCAGTTTCGTCCTTCCTGAATAAAAAAGTGTAGTGGTGACTAGTGAGCATATGAAGAAAGAGAAGAAATGGGAGATGGGAAGGGTAATTATAAAAATTGGTCACATAATTTTAGTATTTGTGCAAAATGATTCTAGGAATTATTTTTTCCCCATAATGGTAGCACAATAATTCATGTTTGGTACTTTCCGTTAATTCTTTGGATGGAAATTGTGACGGTGCAACCGTAATTCTACTTATATGGTTTAATTGCAACAAAAGCAAGTAAGGTGATTAGTCTGCAACATACACAATACTTAAGTGGCAAGTGATGCATTTAAAGGTCTCCTGATGGTTCAAAGGTGAGGAATAAGATGTTGTATGCTAGTTCAAAGGATGGATTCAGAAGCAACCTAGATGGGGTGCAAATTGAGGTTCAAGCTACTGAGCCATATGAGATGAGCTTGGAGGTTGTCAAGGGAAGAGCCCGTTGATCAATTAGTGTACTCTACTTGATATTTCTTTCTTTTCCTTTTATGCCTTTATGGTAATTAATTAATTGTAGTTATGTCTGTGCTTCTTAAAAATTGTACATATACATTTTAGTGTATATATTTTTTATTGCTTAAAAAATATTGTTTCCCTATATTTTGTGTTGAAATCAAATTGTTATTCCTTATTTGGTTAGATTAACATAGTCGTATTGCTCAGCCAGCGACATGCAAACCAACAACTGTAACTCTTCTCGAACATTCAAATCCAAGAATTCTTTTCTAATTGAGAAGTCTTCAATTTAATCGTCAAATGTTAGAAACATTCACATAAGATAAAAATAACATAGGATGATTTACCATTAAAACTAAAATGGAGGGACAGGATACGGTGACAACCCCCTTGGGGGTTGTCAGATTCACAACCAAGGGTATTTTGGGTATGAAAAAAATGAATATATTAATTATCTTTTTTGTATTAATTATATTGGGAATTAAATACCCATATTAAATACAATTTTTTCTGAAATTTAAATCCTATACATTAATATCTCTATCTATCTCTCTCTCTCTCTCTTCCTTTCTCCAGCAGCCACTCCGCATCGACTGACAAACTTTTTCTCCGACGAATTCTCTCCGGCAGACTCCCTCCGGCAACCTGAAAAAATGTACCAATGCGTTAAAAAGTGTACAAATCTATTAGTCTACTGGTAATTAATATACCAGTGCTAGTGGTACGCTACCAGTACGTTAAAAAATGTACCAGTACTAGCGGTACCAGTAAAAAATGTACCAGTACTAGTGGTACGCTACCAGTAGAGAATAACACAACGCTACTAGCACTGGTAGCGCTACCACTAGCATTGGTAGCGGTACCAGTAGAGAATAACACACAAAAAACAAAAACAAAATAGATGATAGTGGTACCAGATGATAGGGGAGCCACTGGTATTGGTACCAGTGATTAGTGGTAGCGTACCAATAGCGCTACCAGTGGTATTGGTACCAATAGTGCTACCAGTGGTATTGGTACCAGTAGAGACTATCAGATCTGGGAAAAAAATAGGGATGAGGAAAGAGTGAGGCAAGGAAGAGTCTTTACCTCGCGGCGGCGGGGCAGGGGAGGACAGCGGTGCGCGGGGGGCGCGGGGGGAGGACAGCGGCGCGGCGTTGGGGGGGGGGGGGGAGGAGGACAGCGGCACGGCAGGGGGAGGACAGCGGCGCGGCATGGCGGCGGGGACAGCAGGCGCGGTGGTGGGAGGGCTGTGGCGGCGGAGAGAGGTGGAGGAGAGACGGTGATGTCTACGGGAGAGAGGGAGGAGAGAGAGAGGGAGGATGGAGGAGTTAGGGTTTTTGTTCTTTTTATATGGTAGGGTGAATGATTGGGTGTGGTAAATTTTTACCCTTCCAAAAATATCCTTCCTTTAATCTTAACCGTTAATCTAAAAAAAGAAGAAAGATACAAGAGAGAGAGAGCGTATCCAAAGGCTATGAAGTGGGTTGTGAATCTGACAACCCCTAAGGGGGGTTGTCACCGTATCTCGTCCCTAAAATGGAATGTCTGTGACCATTAAAAGTTAAATCGTGAAACAAAATGGGTTAATTGCATGGTTGGTCACTGAAATTACAAAAAACATTCATGTTTGGTCACTGGAAATATTTAAATCCAATCTTGGTCACTCAAATTAGTCAAATGGTTCAAGTTTGGTCACTCTCCGTCCAACTCCGTTAAATTTGTCTGATGTGGCAGTCAACCCTCAAAGTTGACTGTTAACTCAATGACGTGGCAATTAAAAAATAATAAATAAAATAAATTTTAATCTTCTACCATTTCCAACTCATATTCACACTAAAGTAAAATAAAAAAATTATTATAGTCACAAATTGAAAGAGGAGATTTTCTCCTCCTCCACCACATCCCTTCCCCGCAACCAAATCGGCTTCCAATTCCTCATCCTAGCACTGCCCCTGCCGCCGTCCCAGCCCGTTCTCCGCCTACTGCACGACCCTTCGATTGCTCGCGACAGCGCAAGTGAGATCTCCAAGCTACGGTGACTACTGGCCATCAAATAATCGACCGAAACAACATATACAAAATCAGGGCTAAACATCCCTCGCTGTTGTGACCCACTATTCTGTCAAGATGAAGGGATCTGGGAATAGATACGACCTCCGGCCGCTTCTGTGACCGTTGTCATAGGATCCAAGCAGTGACAACTGTTTTTTATTACACAGAGGTAAGGACGAGAAGTTCTTGGACGAAGAAGTCATGTTCCATGCCGCGAGGTCCAGATTCCTCTAACTGAACAAGGGATTTGGTCGAGGGAAACGAGATTTGGAGGGTTCGCAACCGTCATAATCCCATGCCTTCATTTTCCACTGCCAATTTGGTTCTGCAATTGGTTCCATCAATTACGCTGCTTCGTTTAGCAATTTCACCTGCAATTCGTTCCATAGGTCAAAGGAGGTGATGGGAGAAGATGAGGGTGAAGTATATATATTTGTCTCAAACAGATGAAGAAGACAAGGGGAAAGGTCGAGAGAAGAGGAGACAAGAAGGGTCTTGGTTCGCTGGGAGGAATTCGTCTGGTGAGGGTGAAGTATACCCTTCGATTGCTCGCGATAGTGCAGGTGATTATGAGCGGCGGCGGCAGCAGCGGACGGAGCTAGTGATGGGAATTGGGAGATGGTTTGGTTGCGGGGAAGGGATGTGGTGGTGGAGGAGAAAACTACCCTTTCAATTTGTAATTATTATAATTTATTTATTTATTTTAGGTTATTGTGAAAATGAGTTGGAAATGGTATAAGATTAAAATTTATTTTATTTATTATTTTTTAATTGCCACGTCACCGAGTTAACGGTCAACTTTGAGGGTTGACTGCCACATCATACAAATTTAACGGAGTTGGACGGAGAGTGACCAAACTAGAACCATTTAACTAATTTGAGTGACCAAGATTGGATTTAAATATTTTCAGTGACCAAACATGGACGTTTTTTGTAATCTTAGTGACCAACCATGCAATTAACCCCACACATTGTGACTAGCTAAAGTTCGATTTGCCCTAGTATAAACTTTTAAATTTAATATAGAAAGAACGACACCGTATGAATATAGCGTCTCAATCTCTAAATTCTACCGTATAGAGTCTTGTACTCTTGTTGGCTCCAAAAAAGCAAAAATGTTGTTTTAGGGTTTTAGGACTTTGTCACTTTACTGACAGCATCGCGGCAGTAATGGAGGAGGCCGCCGCGAACTCATCGTCTTCCCCCGCTGCTCCGATGTGCTGGAGCACTATCTTGAAGAGCCAGCCACCGGCGCCGGCGCTGAAACCACAGAGCTCTACCAGCGCGAGCCAGATGTTCGTCGAGAGCTGCAAGTCGACCAAAGGGATTTCTGTGGCTGTTATCGATGCCAATGCGGTGATCGAAGGCGGAGAGAGGCTTCATCACCTGGCCGACAAGTTCGTCACCGTCCCTGAAGTTCTCGATGAAATTCGTGATCCCGTTTCTCGCCACCGCCTTGCTTTGATTCCCTTCACTATTGATTCAATGGAGCCGACCCCTGAAGCACTCAACAAAGGTGCGACCTTTCTCATTTTTCCCTTTTGAATTTCTTGCTCTTTTCCTGGTTTATTGTTACTCGGTGGATATGAGAGCGAGCGTCGTAGAGCGTGCTTGGTTTCAGTAGAATGGTATAAATTGGAATAAGATCACAAATTCCATGAAAGCAACCAGGGCTTGCCTTGTTACTGGTGAAGTTAGTATGGTCTAGCACGTTTATCAAAATGTTGAATTGAACCTATTCAGTTGTAATCTGGCTCTTTTGTGTGCACAATATCTGGTTCATAATCATAACTAGGCTGCCTTAATTATGCAATTACACGGAGATTTGAGTTTGATAGTTGAGTTTTGGATGCTTAGTACTATTGCATTCTATCTTACAGCCAAATGAGTGGAGCTTTGGTTGCATCCTGATGTGGTTTGTTTCATTTTCAGTGGTCAAGTTTGCTAAGGCAACTGGTGACTTGCAGACTCTGTCAGATGTTGATCTTAAACTCATTGCCCTAACATACTCCTTGGAGGGACAGATACACGGGACTCAACATCTTAGAGATGCTCCGCCGCCTATCCATACAGTCAATGTGAAAAGGTTGCCTGAGAAGGAAATGCCTGGATGGGGCTCTAATGTTCCTAATTTGAAAGAGTGGGAGGCAATAGAAAATGAATCTGGGGATGGTACAAACTCGAACTCGAGAATTCTGCCCTTGAAAGATGTAGACTTGAACACTATTGTAATAGACGATGACAAATCTGAGGCTGACACTGCAACTACTAGAGGAGATGATGACAAGCATTCGGAGAATCATGATGATGTTGAGGATGGTAGGCCGAAGCACAGAAGATACCCATCGCAGAAAAAAGAAGTAAAAATTGAAGGGAAGAAGATGGTTGCAGATGGTATTGATGCATCTCAAGGGCAAGTTGATGATAATGCTGGTGATTGGTTGCCTGCTGTTAGTAAGAGTACTCATAGAAAGTATCTTAGAAGGAAAGCTAAATGGGAGTACTATGAAGCTTTATCTGAGAAAGAGAGTCAGCAAGATATGGAGGGACAATTGGCTGATGACAGTATGAAAGAAAGAAGTGACACTGATCAGCTTCTGAATCAAGGGTTGGAAGCAGATGCTGCAAATGAAGCCTCGAAGAAGGAGAAGGTTGAAAAAGTGAATAATGGAGATGAAAACCTGAACTCAATCCTTAAACAAATGAGTTTGGAGGAAGATTCAGTGGAGCCCCATCAGGAAGGGAATGACAAAAACAATGGTTCGAGAGGCAATGGCGATGAACGTGCACATCTCTCGGGAGGTGAAAATGATGTTGCAAATGCAGTAGATGATGGGTTGGAGACTTTGAGTGAGACACATGAAAGTTGTGATACTCATTGTGAGGATGATGATAGTAGTGAGCAAAGTTGGATGCTTAGATCCTTGTCAGAGTCAAGTGTAGCTTGTGTTACTGGTGACTTTGCTATGCAGAATGTTCTCCTGCAAATAGGTTTGCGACTTCTGGCTCCCGGAGGAATGCAAATTCGGCAGCTTCACAGGTATTGAACTGGTGCTTGAGTTTATAGTGTCCTCTCAACTGGTCTTGTTGTATGTCATCATGAACTACAACCCTTGTATTGATGTTTTGAATCTTCAGATGGATTCTGAAATGCCATGCATGCTTCACTGTGACTGGTGAAATCGGAAGGCTCTTCTGTCCCAAATGTGGAAATGGTGGCACACTGAGAAAAGTAGCAGTTACAGTTGGTGAGAATGGGGTAGTTCTAGCAGCACGTCGACCTCGTATCACACTGCGTGGTACAAAGGTAGGTGTCCATCTAGTTGTCTGGATTTTCATTTGCATCACGATGTGAGCAAGTGGCAACAATGCCATTCCTTCCAAGTGCAAAAAGGGCTCCATATTCGGACGCGGTTCTTGTGAATTTCCTAACAAGGTTATGTTAAGACCTGTGATTGAAATGGTTTGCCTCTCTCTGCAGTTTTCCTTGCCTTTACCACAAGGTGGAAGGGACGCCATTACTAAGAACCCAATTCTGCGTGAAGATCAAATCCCACAAAAGTACCTTCGCCCTAAGACGAAGAAGAAAAGTAATAATAAGGTCAGCTTTCTACTCGGATGGTAAATCTAACCTCTTGCTTCTGCAATCTGCATCATGAAAATTAAGGCTGATAACATAATTTCTTTGTCTTTTCAGGACGACGACTTCTTTGTTGGTGCAGGTGACATCTTCAGCCATGTTGACAAAAGGTCTGCTTACAAGCCACCTGTAGGAAAAGCGTTTACAGCTTATGGTGGACGGAGGAATCCTAATGACAATCACTACTCCCGCCAAAAGCACTGATTTGTGGTTGAGATTCTTAGTTTTAGCTCTCTCCCCTGGAACAAGAGCTGTTTCAGTTTATGATCCTTTGGCGTGTGACTAGTTATGTCTCATTACATATCTCTGGTTCTGCTGGTGAATCAAATCCCAATTTTGAGTCATTTCTGATTTGCTCGTGTAATAGCTTCTAAGAATATGCACCTGGTAAAAAAAATTATATGGTTTGAACTGCACACCCGACGAACTTTGTCTTCCTCCCTACTCCCTCGCGCCCGTGGACTAGAGAAATCCAGTTTCGACGCCGGCAGATTTCCATAGACACCGGCTTTCCATCGACCTTCCCACGCGAAGACACAGCAGCGACTCTCGATTGAAGAGTTATCCTGCGAACAGTAGTTGGCAACTGCCGGGAAAATTGCCATCGATGTCGGCTGCAGCAGGCTTCGACGGTGGTGAGATGCCCAACTTCTGGATCGATCCGCGTCCTTCCGTCGATCTATCCTCTTTTCCTCGAAGTATTTCTTGAACCTGATTCTTGCCCCATTTTCGTTTTTCTGCAAATAGTCTGGGATTCCTAATTTTGAATTCTAACCTCCTAATTGCTTCTGTTTTCGTCTATCAATTATGTGCTATGGGAATGGTTTGTAGTAGTTGTTCCAATGTGGTCACTTAAGAAGTGTTTGTTTCATTTGCTTAAGTTTTACTGTTAGATGATTACTTATCATGTGGAAGAAAAAGCTGTTGCGGTTGTCTTTGAAGAGCATCTGAGCTAGATAATTTAGGACATCGATTGGACTGAGAAGATAACAGGGTTCAACCTAGAAGGAGGACGTGGTGAATCTTTATGTAAGCCGTTGAGGAGGATCACTATGGATAGCAAATGTTGTTTAGTAGGTGGAGATGCACAACAGGTGTTACAATGCGGAGCCACTGTTTATCGAAGGTGTTGGGGCGGACAATGACACAATTGCAAGAAGTGTTCTTGCTGATATTCTCGACAGCCAAGATCCATTTCCTTGAAAACGAATTGTATGATCATGGTTCATTAGCTAGAGAACCCATTTTCTGCATTTTGGAGAGGGTTGGGCAGAATTTTTGGATCATAATGTCATAATGAATGAGTGAGGGAGCATGGTTGTACTTGTAAAGAGTTAGTAAAGCGGGTTAGGTTGCATGTTTGATTACTTGAGTCTTTGAAATTTGAGTGTTGGTGTACATGTAGAATGAACATACCATTTTGGTTAAGTTTTTACCTTCTTGCTGCAGAACACAAAATGGAGTTTCAATCTTTATGTACCTTTGTATCTTTATGAACATTATAGCATCTTTGAGTCAAGTGCATCACTACCTTCTTAGCACGTGAACATGTCATCCTATTCACATCATATCTCATCTCTTCTTTAATCGTCTCTCTCATGTCCTTCAGCTGTGGATGTGCGTGCTCTTATCCTCTAATGATACTTCTTTGCAATCACAACTGGACTACATTATTTGTTTTTGAAATGAAGTCCACAGACATCTGTGCACCTTTAGTGTTTTGATTCGAAATGCATCGACTCTTTTACACCATGAAACCAACAATGTGAAAGGACAACCCTTGTACCTGCAGACCACCCTTAGCCTTGTTGGATCACTTTTCTTCACCTTCACACCTTTCCTGGTAGCCAAAGCATATTTTCTAATGGCCTCCCTTGCCCGAGTCGTGTCAGTAAAGATCATTTAAAGCTCAAAGAATGGCGTTTCCAAGTTTTGGTCGAATTGTGGAAAGCGACTTCTTCTATGTAGGGGTGGGCAACGGGACGGGAATGGGTACCCATCTCGTTTGAAACGGGTACCAAATCTCATTTGGAGATGAAACTCCATCCCATTTTCCAAACCCATACGGGTTCACGGGTACCCGCAGATAACCCATAAATTTGGTTGGTATTTGTTATTTTGGCATTTTCTTCGGTTCCTTTTTACGGGGTCGGAAGAATTCCACTCCACTCGACACTGTAGTAGATGAAGGCAGTGTTATGCAATAACCATTAGTTGTAGCACTTATAAAAAAAACCATTAGTTGGTGCTTAACGAATATAAGGCGATTCAAATACAGCAACTAAAATCTAACGCATGGACATAACCATTAGTTGGTGCTTAACGGAAGACTGATCAAGAACAAAAAGCACTGGAAATGTCTAATCCTTAAAGGCAATTCTTCCAGAGCTCGTTTGGATCCAGAAGTTTGTTAACAGGGGATTTGACCCACAATCACGTAATTGAAAACCTTGGTTATTTATAGGCAGGTTTTCGGTAAATAGTTTGTTTGTTTATGGGTGGGGGATTTATTAGTTGGGGAATTTAAAATTAAAGCAATAGTGGAAAGTACCATTATACCCTTGTAGAAGCCAATGTCGAACTCGACGAGAAATTTAATCGACTTCCTTCTCTCCCTCCACCGTTACGTCTAGAGCCAATTCCATCAGGTGATCCCGTCGCCGGAGACCAGCATCTAAACGCCGATCTTGCATAAGCTTTTATGAACCCAAGGGATTCCATTCGTACCATTATAATGATTATATTATGAGGTACGCCTCTTGATGCCCTCGAAACCCTCGCGTTATTATCTAGAGTGTTTTGACTTTGTTTAGTGGTTTTAATTTAGGTTAAGAACTCCTCTTCTATATCCCGTACTCTGCTTCCTCTTATTTAGAGTGATGTAACAGAATGAAAATAATATGCATAACTAATATTTAATCTGTAATTATGGGTGAGCGAGTAATACGGGTACTCGTAATACCCAAATGGATATTAACGGATAACCCGCAAGTACCCATTATAGAATTTATTGATCCCATGTTACATCCTGTAAATAAAAAATTTACGGATATTTGGCTACGCGTAATCCTAAGAAAACGAGACGAATATGGGTATGCTCAAATACCCGTTTTCCGTTGCCCACCCCTACTTCTACGTACTGCATTATCAACAACTTCATCCTCCTCGTCGGTTCCATTATAGCTCCCATCAGAACTGGAGTTAAAACCCTCTTGCCCATCCACTTGGTCATGTCTTCTATCAACCTCATCATTGGAGTGATAAGTAACATGAATTCCTCTATACAACTTCTCTTTTGCCCTTTTCACCGTCGATAATATCTCTTCCCTATATGCAATATCCTCATCCGAGACCCAATCTGGGTTCAACTCAAACTCGTTGTCGGAATCTCCCTTCTCTTCTTCATCAAGTTTGACTTTTTCCTCATTTCTAATGTTGCCATTGAATTGCATCTACACGATTGGAAACAAGAAAAAAAATTAACGTAAAAGAAATCATTGATACAACCATATTTACACCCCACCAACCATCAATCACGGCAGAAAAGGCACACCTGTTCAGTATTGTGTACATTCTCAATCGATGGAACCCTTTCCCTACTGTTTGCTACAACAGAATCGTGCATGAATCTATTGCCTCCACCAACTTCATTGTTAATTCCACCATCCTTCTTCCTTATACGTGATCCTGGAAATAGGGGTGGGCAACGGGAAGGGATCAGGTACCCGTCCCGTTTGAAACAGGTATCCAATCCTATTTGTTGGTTGCCTACGTATTCAAGTCATTGGGATCCAAGCCCATGTAGTTCGATCATTTTGAACGATTTTTTTAAAAGAAAACCAAACACGTACTATTGCTTCGTGTTAAAGGTTTGATACTAGCATTTTATAAATAAATGCATTTTGATGATTTTTTTAGTTTTTTAATTTAACAATTAACAATTTAACAATCGACCTAAAAGACCATCGTGGTCTATTGACCATGAACTCATATGAAGGATTGTTTAGAAAAATGATTATGATGTCATAGCAAAATTAATAATCTCATAGTGTTCAGATATTTGATGTTACTATTATAGTATAGTAGAAGATATGGTGCATAACCAATGGTTAATCATCCTAGCATGACAAGATCTAGGCTCTTAGTTTTGTGTGGGGCCATAAGGACCCAAATCTAAGGGGTGAGAATTAGTGGGGGTTTTCCCCTTAATTAGTTTTTTAATCGGCCTTTGTTTCCGTTCTAACTTGGACATATTTTTTTTTTCCATAGATGAAATGAGTTCGTTGTGGTCTACAAAATGAGAACTATTATTAGTACATTTTGAGAAATTATTTTGCGTGTCACTCTTACCACTCGTTATCACCTTGGTCCCACATGGTACCATCTTTGTTTTTAACTTGGATTTTGAAATTTTTTGAAGTGAAGAAATGTGTTCGTCGAGATCTATTATATCTAAAAATTTTTGGAGAAAAAAATTCAGGACCAAAATATACCACACTGGTATTGGGATGGTAACTTGTGGTAAACAACGATGGATGTGGTAAATGGCAGTTCATATACTTCTATTATCATGCATTTAATCACTCTACACTTTGATATGTTCATACTAACATGATACACTTTCATACCACGTGGTATGATTTTATGTAATACCAAACATTATCACTGTGGTATCGACACGTACAAATGTCTCAATTTTTTCCTCGAAAAATATAAAAATGGACCTCATTTTGAAAACCAATACTAATTTTTTTTTTAAAGTTAAGTTTTAACTTAAATGAAATATCCTGTTAAAATTTATAGGAGAAAAAAGGTAGAGGCTTTCCATAAATGATAATATGGCAGGTTATGCATGATTATGCACAGGATGGGCTGCTTGGAGTAACGAGACTAACACTAAAGTAAAAGTTTAAGAAATAAATTAAAGAGAAGATGTTAATTAGGTAATTATTAGGTGAGTAGCCAAACGGATTAAGCATGTTTGTTGGGAATTTTTTTGCAACCGAAGGTTATGGGTTGAGCCTTAATCTATCTACACATCTCTTATAATATGTGGCAGAGTCTTGCCTTCTTTTCACCATTTCAAATTTTTTGCAGTCCTTAATTGTAGCTAGAAGTAAATTTGTAGGTTTCAACTTAGAATTTAAATATCATTTTAAGAAACAATATCATTATGAAGACTTAAACACGAGTTCTTTCAAACGAGAGTCAATATTCCAAATGTCTTGAAATTAGAGGACTATCTACCGCAACAATCAATCACTCATTGAAGTAACTAATAACTTTATTTTTTTACAAGTACATCATGAAATAACTAGCTCTACAAATCAACTAACTGAGTTATTCTAATCACAAAAATCTTCACCAAATCAAATAACAAATTTTGAGTTTATGTATGTCTTACAACTTATACATTGATTAGGTTACATGACTTTGTAGCAATACAAGGATTATTTATAAAAGAGTTATACAAAATTTTATTTCAAAACAAAGAAAATTTGACATTTGATGATCTATGGTTTTGTAATGCGACATTTTCAATGCTATAAGTGAATGACCAAAAATCATTGGCTAACAAATGCCCTACTGGTTGAGAATCATAAGCATAAAAGTGAAAGACAAAATATCATTGACAAATGAGTCAAACATATTGGCTAATTTAACAAAGTGTATATACATTGGGAATTCTATGGTATGCTTAGGGATGGCAATGGGGCGGGTTTGGGGCGGGTTTATCTAAACCATCCCCATCCCCATCTTCAACTATCCAAATCCATACCCGCCCCATACCCATGCGGGGGAATGTTCGGCAAACCCATCCCCATACCCGTGGGTTTCGGGTACCTATGGGTAATACCCGTACCCGTACATCCAACACTATTATACAAAAATTCACAAGAAAAGTTTTAACTAAAACTCTAAACGTACCTATTATATCACGAATTAAACAAAACACGATCATTTTCTTAATATGGTTCAAAGAATATGATCCTAAAACATTCATTAATACATAATATAGAGTATAATATTTTTCAAATTATTATGTTCTAACTCTTATACATCTACTAAGTAATAATTAACTAACATAATCTTGTTGACAAGGGGGAAAGTGAAAAAGTGAAAGGAGAATTGAGGGAAATGAATTAGGTTTTGATTAAAGTGGTCACTCAATTGCATTTCTACTATTTATTTCCTTGAGTTATCCTCATCACCATTGATAGATTACAATTTGATCCACATGTTTTTGTATATGTGAAGAAATTCTCTTCGTGGGGCGGATATGGGTATGGGTATGGGGCGGGGGAGGCTAAAACCATACCCGCCCCATACCCATCAAACTTTTTGCGGGTTTTACCCATACCCGCCCCATACCCGGTCAAAGCGGGGATTACCCGCGTTCACTGGGTCGGGGGCGGTCGGGTACCCGCGGCCATGGGTTTGATTGCCATCCCTAGGTATGCTCCATGAATTGGAGGTTATTGCATCTCCTTAGTTAAATAACATTATCTAGATCATGGATTAATCATGTAACTGACTCGAGCTCAAATGTACACATTTTACCCCCTCATTTCTTATTTGTTAGCTTAGTATTTCATCATTCCTCAACATATTTCATGCTAGGTTGTGCTTCTTTTGATACATTTCAGGTCCTAGCACGTGCGGAAGGGTCGAGGACGAGTTTTGGGATAATTGAAGGGTCGTCCAGGAAACAGCCGCAGCTCACGGCCGAACAAGGCAGTTCACGGTCACCTAATATCGTGAACTTGAGCCACAAACCGTGAACATCGAGCAGTCCAGCGAGGTTCCAGAAGTTACTGACGACAAGGCAGTTCGCGGTCTCTGAGACCGTGAACTGGGGCCATTGACCGTGAACCCAGGAGGCAAAGCGGTGCGTTTTGGAGACGACTGAGTTCACAGACGCGTTTAGGTGTTCACGGCCATGAACTGGCCAACGCGTCCGTGAACTAGTCACTTTCGGGCAATATGAGGACAGTAGCAGGGAGAGAGAAAGGGGGAGCTGATTTTTGGAGAAGGAACACTTTCTTTCTCTAGGGTTCCAACCCAAAAACACCAAAGGGAGTTCTAGTGAGAGAGAGTGCTAGAGTGATCTTAGAGCATCATTGGAGGCTTGGGTGGATCTTGAAGACAAGGATTCAAACCTAGAAGAAGAAGATCTTGAGCTCAAATTTGTAATCCCTCTCTTCTCTCTCTAGAAACTCACTCTTTTCTCTTGGGTGTTGTAGATCCCTAACTAATACTTTGTAATTACTTGTTTAGATTGAATGATTTGGTGTGGGTTTGCATCAATTTGAGTATTAGAGGTGTCTTCATGGTGATTGTGCTTAGTTGTGCTTTCCATATCTTGTGTGCTTTCCTAACCTAGATTAGAGGAGAACCACACCTTTTTAGGTAGGCTTGACACGCTTGGTTTTCCTAAGCACTTTGTGCCTACTATCTAGGTTAGAGTTGAGCATCCCCCTTTACTCAAGTTTGCATCTAGGTTGGTTGTGATTAAGCCGCTCAAACTCCGGTTTGAGGGAGAGACCTAGGCAACCCCTAGAGACTGAGTGAGAGGATCGATTCCATGACAAATTGATCTCTAGTGAATCCATCCCGTGACAAATGGATCACTAGTTGCTCCTAGTGGTTCCCCTAGACCTGGTGAGTGGATCGATCGCTAGTGAATTGATTCCGTGACAAATCGATCACTAGTTGCTCACCCCCGCGGTTCACAACCACCTACGCC